CTACCCCCACCCCCCCAAGTCTCCAGATATTTCCCGTTTGTGTCCCCACTGGGGAGAAGGCAAGGTCGGAGTGAAGTAAATAATGTGTATAAAATGTGTATCCTAGTCCATCAAGGGAGAGTCATATATGGAATTAGTTCCCACTGGTATCGCTGATGTGGATCCAGATGCTTCCTCCTGCCGCTTGACCTCCTCTGATCTGGATGCACCTTCTTTTGGTATGCTGATGGGTGTGGCTTGCGCCGAATGTGGTTTGCAGTAGATACAGAAGCTGGCTCACGATGGGGGAAACAGATGACGCGAGTTTCTGGATCCTGACTCTCCCCCTCGGCAAAATGCAAAGCTTTCCTCTTGCGTCTGGAGCCTTCCGCCAGAGGAGGAGGCTCTTCTTCTGGAATCGGAAAAGGATCTTCCTCTGGAAGAAGATCCTGCACTTAGCTGACAGAAGGGGTGTGTGAGGCACAAGCTTTTATTTTTGAGAAATCCCACATTCTGTGTCAAGAGCCAAGATTTCTGTGCCAGAGCACTGCTAAATATGGTTGCGGGGAGGGGGGGATTATAAAACCAATTTTTGTATGCATTGGATCCCCCCCCCCTGCCTGCCAAAGAAGTGATTTCCCCATTAGATGAACTTAGTGTTAATTGTGGGAGAATGGGTGGGGAAGGGAATATGTTATTTCCACTGCTGTGATCCGGGCCACCATTGTGCAGCGTGCACAGATCTCTGGTATTCATTTCCAAGAAAGAGACTCTTCTTTAAAAAAAAATAAAAAATAAAATCCTAAATCCCTCCTCTGTCTCTCCAGCTGCCTAGTTAATTTCCCTTCTTTTCACTTCCACAATACAGACTTGTTCTCCATCGCTCTCAGAATTAACTCTGTCGTTTATTTAATTTTTGCAATAGTCAACTCACCGGTCAACATTCTAGTCCAGTTTCTGAACAGAGACCCATTTGTGGATGCAGTGCTTTAGCAGAGAAGCATAAGCCCAAATAAGGTCTGGTCCGTGCCCCCAAGAAAATATGGCTTGGATTTTGCACGGAGGGAGGGGGATAGCAAGGGGAAGGGAGAAAGAGCAGGCACAGGAGTTGCCCGGATGGTGGTAGGAAAGGCCTGTCGAATGACAGCTGACTTAACGGTGACCAATGCTCCCTCTAAGCTGTGGAGTCTTGTGAGCAAAAATTCTATTTTGTGCTCTACTGGCATTAAAGTCGTGAGCGAGCGATTTGCCTCCTGCATCAATTAGTTTGCTCCGGAGCAATCTTTCCTGAGCTAAGACAAAAAGGTGTGAGCCGGAGGCTAAAAAACTGTGAGCTGGCTCACACCAAGTCAGCTTAGAGGGAACGCTGATGGTAACCCTGGCGGGTTTTCAAGGCAAGAAACTAACAGTGGTGATTTGCCACTGCCTGCCTCTGCGTAGTGGCCCTGATATTCCTTGGCGGCCTCCCACCCACGTACTAACCAGGGCCCGATCCTGCTTAGCTTCCAAGATCTGATGAGATCAAGCTAGCCTGGGTTATCCGGGTCAGGCAAAAACCGAGAAAAAAAAGGGGGGGGACTCAACCCAAAATGTAGCATGTGATCTAAGAGGGTCAAGCTAACAAAGAAATTGTTATAAAAATGCAAATATTTATTATGGTGTACACACAAATAAAACATACATAAGGTTAAAAGAAATAGTCCAAAATATCAAGAGTCTTAAGGCTTATTACATTCAGAGCTGATAATTATACATGTCCAATCGATGGGTAAAACTTTTTTTATTTTTTGTTATTTATAACTTAACATTATAGCAAAAATAAAACTATGATACAAGTAAAACTTTTGACCAATAGACCATATGCGTTTCCATGGAAGTGACAGACATCTTGACACATGGGATATTTGTTACCAGAATAATTTGGAGAGTTTGTGCAGTTACTATCCATGGCCCATTATACAAACTTTTCGCAACGGCAAAGCATATGAGAAAGCAACACCTGGCTCTGTAGAAAAAGTTTTTATGCATTTATTTCTAGATGTGTGTTATTGTACAATAGGATATTGACCACTGAGGAAGGCCCGAAGGGGCTGAAACGCGTATGGTCTATTGGTCAAAAGTTTTACCCATCAATTGGACATGTATAATTATCAGCTCTGAATGTAATAAGCCTTAAGACTCTGATGTTTTGGACTATTTCTTGTAACCTTATGTATGTTTTATTTATGTCTACACCATAATAAATATTTGTATTTTTATAACAATTTATTTGCTAGTTTATCCAGGTCAGGGCCTTGACATTCTACTATCCTTTTCTTTCTTTACCTGTCAAATCACAGCTGACCCTGTAGGGTTTTCAAGGCAAGAGACTGTTCAAAGGTGATTGGCCATTGCCTGCCTCCGCATCAAGACCAATCATCCTGGATGTGAGGAACACATTTCCAAACACACACCGTTGTGCCTTGGCAGGATCAGGAACCTCGAATATGCTGTGTCTGGCTCTTGAGTTTGTCCGTTCCGTGATAAGCCCAGATCTGCTGCTCTGCAACAGTCTGTTGAAATGCAATCTTAACAATGAGTTGCTAGATGTAAATGTAGCAGACACGTTCAGACGGTTGATGTGTTTTTCCCCCCCTCATGATCTTGTGTTTGTTTTTACCATTTCAAACAGTCCTCCTGCGGATGAACATGGTTGGCAACAAAGCAGTTCTAAACCCTCTGCGGTGCCCCAGCTTTCGGGAAAGAGCAACAGCCGGCCCGTAGGAAGCTATTTTGCAACTCTGGATCCCGCTGCCACCATGCAAGAGGGTTCGCTTGCATCCCAGTTCCATTCCAGGGGACTCCAAAGAGGTCCATTGGGCGGCCAGGAGAGTCCATCAGCCGGGCTGCAGCAGGATTCTGGGGCTAATACCAGCCTCCGAGCTTTTCTGAATTATGGCGGGGCCACCACCGGCGAGGGCCAGCCGCTGGGGGAAAAGCAAGCCGTTTTCGTGGCGAATGCGAATGGATCTCCCCAAACTGCAAGATCACCGGCGGACAGTGGCCTCTTCCCAGACGGCTTCCTTGCGCCTGCTTCCGGACACAGCAGTCAGAGCAGTCCAAACCAGCAAAACACCGCAACGAACACTCACCCGCTACCCCCACTTCCCGAGAAGAAGAGGGGTTCAGAGGGAGAGCGTTCTTTCGGCTCCGTCTCTCCTTCTTCGAGCGGCTTCTCCAGCCCCCACAGCGGCAGCACCATCAGCATCCCGTTTCCAAACGTTCTTCCCGATTTCTCTAAAGCTTTGAGCACGTCTCCATTGCCAGGTATGAGCCACGGTGGGTAATTTGAAACGAGGCACTGTTTTGAACTGGCCTACCACACAAACACACACACACACACAAAAGGTGAAATATTTCTGTGATTTTAAGAAAGGATTTTAAAATGGATCGAGCAAGGTTTTGCAGACTGTATCGATATCTCACGAAGCGGGCTGTAGCCTACGACAACCTGTATGATTTCCCCCCCCCTCACTTCTTAGAACGCCCAAGCTGTCCCAAAGTTTCAGGAATATGTTTGAGTCTCTAAAGGCAAAAAGCCCAATCTTGCACATCCACAGGATGAGAGGGCAAAGACCTGAGGTGGTAGAATAACCTGAATCGTTTCAGGCTGCAGACGGGGAAATGAGCTTTGCCGTGCTTCCCCACTCAGGAAATTCCAGGCACGTAGAAAGTGGGAGAGACAATCTGCCCCCCTTTCTCCCTGAGGTTATAGGAATTCCAGGCACGTAGAAAGTGGGAGAGGAGAGACGATCTGCCCCCCTTTCTCCCTGAGGTTATAGGGTTTTCCCCTCCTTCCACGGAACTTACTGTGCAGGAGAAGAGTATTCAAGAATCCCCGCAGCCAAAAGGGATGTGACGAATTCTGCCACCTCATTTTGATGCCTGTGTACGGCAGGTAAAGACACTAAGAACTGGGAACAGGTAGAAGGTGTGCCCGCTCGCTGTGGTCTTGTTTCCGCTGTGGCGAGAAAACTCTGTCTGGGATATGTTACTTGAGCATGTGTGATTGGGTGTTCCCCCCTACAGAGAATTCCCATTATGCAGTAAGCTAGCATTTGAGGGAAAGGGGGTTCTGGCCTACCCTGAGATACTAGATTTCCAGTAGCACCTTAGAAACGATCAAGATCTTCTTGAGTCAGAGCTCCGTTTGTCAGATACCTGGAGCAAGGAGCTGCTGGACTCATCGGGCTGTTCTTCTGCAGACTGGCGTAGCCACCCTGTGAAACTATCTTCCTGAGAGGCTAGTTTTCTAAGAGCAGGGATTCTTTTCCCCCATTAGGGAACATTCTGTAGTTTTAGTTGCCATCTGAACTATACAACTTAACGAGTGTTCCACCAGTCCAGCGACAGCGATGTACTTTCAACTTTGGGAGTTCTTAGTCCACGTATCGACATTTGGGGGAAGGGGTGTTGATTTTAATTTGTCATTTCTTTGGGTAGCAGCAGACATACTGTACAGCATGAGGTCTTCTGTGATAACATCTGCTACTTACAGTTTTTTATTCTTTTATTTTTACTTGTTTCTTTTATCTTTTTAAAAAAGTTCTTGCCCAATTGTGCTTTTTTTAAAACAACAACAACAACAAAGGAAAATGCAATCGGTGACTAAATATTGCGGCGTGCCCACAGTAAGTTGTGGCACAGATAAGTTCATTGAGTAGCCATGTTGGTCTGCTTAGATTTGAATCCAGTACCACATTAGAGACCATGATTTTGGGGGAGGGGGGTATAAGCTTTTGTGAGTCAAAGCTCCCTTCATCAGATACGATCTGACGAAGGAGCTTCTGATTCTCAAATGCTTATGTCCCGAAAGGTGCAGCTGGACTTGAATCTAGATTCAGGTCAGAAGCAGCTGAACAAAGTTGGAGTCAAGTGGCACCTTTGAGACCAACAAAGTTTTAGAGGTATCTAGTGGCACAAAGTCAGTCTGAAAGAAAACCCACCAGTGCTTTTCTAGTGTCGAGTCGGTTCTCCATCTGTGCTTTTGAAAGAGACTCTTAGACTGTGTGATACGAAAGACTATTAGAAGTGATGCTCTTTCAGACTATAGGTGGGAAAGCTGCTTTTCAGTGCTCACAAACGTAAAAATAAAAATTTCTACAGATAAGCTAGTCCAGCCTCGACAACTGTTTTGTCTCGGGCCTTTGTCTGCGGTGCTAGTTTTCTCTTTGCAGGGAGTGTTCCAACCTGTGGGTCCAGCCCATTCTTCGCCTCTTTCTCCCACAGGTGCTCACAAGGCCTCCCTTGCTACTACTGCCCTGTCCTGTGCCAGTCGTGTGCCATTTTTTCAGGCTTTTTTTCTCCCCCCCTCTTTTGTTTTTCAGAAAATGCAGGTGATAAACACGTGACCGTGAAATTTGTTCAGGACACATCCAAGTTCTGGTACAAACCAGAGATTTCGAGAGAGCAAGGTAGTAGCCCTTTGCCTTTATCTATCGATTTATGACCGACTAAGAACATAAGAAAAGCCATGTTGAATCAGGCCAGTGGCCCTTCCGGTCCAACGCTCTGTGTCACACAGTGGCCAAAGTCCGGGAGCTCCAACATCAGGAGGTCCACCAGCAGGGCCAGACTCCAGAAGCCCTCCCACTGTTGCCTCCCCCACCCCATTTATTTATCGCTCACGCCTAATTATTTATCGCTCACGCCTAACTCGGAGACGCAAAGCAGGTCGTATAATGCTGCTTCTCAGCTTGAAGCCAAAGAATTAATAGACAAGATAAATATCCAAAAGGTCCAAATTACCTAGGAAAAGTGTTGGACTTTTTGGATATTTATCTTGTCTATGAATTCTTTGGCTTTTGCGTTTTCCCATGATGGATTGTATGGATAGATTTAACTCAGACAACAGATGCATTTCACTTTAAATGAAGTCTCCCTTGTGAATATTCTGCGGGAAATTTAGTTCACAGTTGCTTTTGTGGTTTTGTTATTCTTTGCCACCTAGAAGTCGTGGCGACCTCTGGTGACTGACCCCTGCTGGGGGCCTGGAGGATATTCAGAGAGGTGGCTGAATGAAGCCTGCCCCCGCCTCCTGCCTCTGGTATTCCAAGGAGGTCTCCCATCCAAGTACTTGTCAGAGGCGGCTCTGCTTAGCTTCCGAGATCAGACTTGCTGGGGCTACCCAGGCCAGGGCTGTACTGGGGTCTTCTTGACTCCGTGAGCCACCTTTCTCCTTTCAATTTGAGGAAGGGTGTGGTTTGGGCAGCGAGATCACACAAACAGATAAGGGTGCAGCAGTCCAGCTGAGACATGACAGTTTTGTGCCCCGTAAAGGAAAGGTGGGGAGACAAGCGTGACATTTAGCCTACTGTTACTTTGTTCTGACGTTCAGGGGACGGTAACATCTGGCCAAGTCCTTATCGCTGGGGTGCCGTTTAGGAAGCATATGATTATTTTATGGGAATATCGCCTTTCCCCACTCCACCCCAGACTGTTTTTCGGATCACGTCTGTTTATTCCACGGACCTGCCTGCATCGTTGATTAGAGTGTGGAAAGGAGCGACAACAGCTGGCTCTTTAAAATGCCACTTTCTTGCACTCGAGTCTTGAATACGTTTAAGAGACTGCCTTTGAACCTGGCTGGCTGTGACTCTCTGTACACACAGATAAAGGTCTCCCTACCAACACCCACCCACCCACAATGATACTTTATCCTAACCAGTGTTCCCTCTAGGCTGAGTTAGTATGAGATAGCTCACAGTTTTTTAGCCTCCAGCTCACAAATTTTTGTCTTAGCTCCGGAAGGATGGCTCCAGGGCAAACTAATTTATGCATTAGCCAAATCGCTCACTCACAACTTTAATTCCAGGAGCTCACAAAGTAGAATTTTTGCTCACAAGACTCCGCAGCTTAGAGGGAACATTGATCCTAACTGTTCCAGATGCTCTGGAGAACGCCCATCGGCATGCACACTGGATCCAGATACCTTGCGGTTGCGTTGAGATATTTTAATGGCGGATTCCGATTAGCATTGCACATGCTGCTGTAAAAATCCCATCTTTTTAAAGACAGGCTTTATGTGGCTCATCCCTTTATGGCTTCTTTGTGAACTTTGTCCCGCATGGCCTCCGGCTACTGGCAAACCAGCGGCTTAGCGTTGGGCTTCAGTGCGCCTGCAGTCCCCTGAACTCTGGTAGCCTGATCGCTGACGGAAAGAGATTAGCAAAGAACACACACAACTATCAGCTCCTCGTTTACTTTGGATTCAGGAACCAGGAGGCTGCTTGGCCATTTAGAACTGTGGAACAATAGATCAAAGGGTGCAGCGTTTTTTTGGGAGGTGGGGGGAGGTTAAATAATGATAAATTCAGAAGAAGCCAGGGTGGCCTGCTGGAGAGGAGAGTGTAATGGTCCACCAAAGTATCATTTGCTTCAGCGTGTGTGTGAGTGAGTGAGTGGGTGAGTGTATGTGTGAGTGAGTGCTGTTTGCAGGTGTGCTTAAAAGCAGGTTTGCAACCTCTGACTCAAGCAGACCACATCTTGTCTTTAGCATCACTGTCAACATTCCCTCTAAGCTGTGGAGTCTTGTGAGCAAAAATTCTGCTTTGTGAGCTACTGGCATTAAAGGTGTGAGTGAGCATTTTGGCTACTGCATCAATTAGTTTGCTCTGGAGCCATCCTTCCTGAGCTCAGACAAAAATGTGTGAGCCAGAGGCTAGGAAACTGTGAGCTAGCTCACGCTAACTCAGCTCAGAGGGAACTCTGATCACTCTGTAACTTTGCACCATGGTTAGCTTGGCGAATGTGGGGGGGAGGTGTGAGGAGCCCCCCCCCATATGCTGATGATCCCCAAACCGTCTGTACCAGCCTGGTTATTGCTTAAGATGGGGACATCCAGTTGGTGGTCTATGGGGCAGATCTAACCTCCGAGGGCCATTTGATCTCGTCCCGGGTTACCCTCCCATATTTCATTCAAGGTATAGTGAATTTGCCCACAAGTTAACTTGTAAGGGGGAAAACAAAAGAGAAATGTTTTCAGATTGTATGAGAGAGAAAAATTCTCTTTGAGATTGTGTATGTACCCGCAGGTGTGTGTGCGTCAGAAACCTTGAGTTGCCTCCTTGGCTGTGGGTTGGATCCAAAATAACTGGGTGATTTCCACTGTTTCCCCCCTTCTCATGACAGATCCCCCCCCATTCCGTTCTTCGGGGTCCCCTATCCCCCCCCCCGGTCACCATTTCATGGCAGTCAGCAGGCTACAGTGGGAGGAGAGAGGCAGGAAATTTCCAGTCCACTCTTGGAAGATTTTGTCTCGATCCAGGCCTGCATTTGCTCCCGTTGTTTTAGTGAAAGCAGCAGAGGCTTCTGGGTTCGTTTTTGGCCCTTCGCACGCAGATTACCGTCGCTTTTACCGTAGACTCGGGGACCTGTTGTGTTTTCTTTGTTACCGGGGTGAAAAACGGCTCTCTTTCAAGCTGTCCTTTCTCTCTCCTCCTCCTCCTCCGCCTCATGCAGCCATTGCCGTCCTGAAGGAGAGAGAGCCGGGGTCCTTCGTCGTCCGTGACAGCCACTCCTTCAAGGGCGCCTACGGTCTGGCCATGAAGGTGGCGATCCCTCCACCCTCAGTGCTGCAGCTCAACAAGAAAGGTATAACTTCTTGGACGTCTCCAGTTCAATTAGGCAGGACCGACTGAGTATGTTTTATTTTTAACCATTGATGTTCAAGAGAAGTCCTCCTCTCTTGTACCAGAGAAAAGCTGCTGGGAATTGTTTGTCCTTCATTTCTTTAGTGCAGGTTTGCCAGTAGCTCTTCCATGAGCCCACCTGCCCACAAGTACCTGGTGATGCCCTTCGGGCTTCAAGGGGCTTCGGGGGTCTTCATGAATTTGATAAACGAAGTCCTTCACAAACATTTGTTTAAGGGGGTGCTTGTTTACCTGGATGACATTCTTATTTATTCCCCCAACCTCCCCTCCCACGTGAAATTGGTGAGAGAGGTCCTGAGCATGTTGCACTAGCACAAATTGTTTGCCAAACTCTCCAAATGCGAGTTCCATAAAACACACATCGACTTCTTAGGCTACCGCATCTCGGCCGCGGGCCTCGAAATGGACCCCGGGAAAGTGAGGGATGTGTTGGGGTGGGAGGCTCCCCGAACCCAGAGGCAACTACAATCTTTCTTAGGATTCGCCAATTTCTACAGATCCTTTTTACCGAACTTTGCGCCTAAAAGGGGGCACGTGGACGAAGAAAGCCCGAAAGCTTCTCTGGCCACTTGTCTAGAGGCCGTTTCCCCACGGACCAAAGAGCCGTTTACAAGCCTTGCTAATGGTTTGTTTAGGGCATAGGGATCTGTTAAGCTGCTGCCGCTGCACACAATTTCTGGCTTTATTTTGAGGAAATGTGGGATCCATTAGGAGAAAAACGTATTAAACTACTTTAACCGTGTCTTACCGTTCGCTGAGGCCTCAAATGCAACTCAGAACCATAAGCAAAGTCAAGTATCATATGAAGAAGCCAACCCAGGTCCTTTCCGCACTTGGATCTCATCCCTGGTTTTATCAGAGTTCAACTCGCAATACAATACCTCGCATTTATCCCTGGTTATAACAGCATCCATTTATCTCGGGACAAGTGTGGGGCAAAACCAGGGTGACCTCCATGTAATGTGGAAACAAAAAATACCCTGAGATAATTACAGGGATGAACTCGAGTGTCGTGTAGAATGTAAGTTCATGGGCAGGGTTGAACCAGGATTTAAGGTCTAGTGCGGAAGGGACCCGTCATCAAGTGTCTGTTGAATAATCTGTTCAACCAAGCCCCAAATCTTGTCAAAACAAAGATTTTCACTCTCCTATTAAATGCTGACAGGGAAAGTGCAGGACAGTCCTACCCGGTGCCTCTACTGAAAAGGCCCTGCTGTGTGTAGTCATTACACTTTTGACAGTTTGGAGCACATGAAGCACGCTCCCCCCCGCCCAATTCTTAGACCAAGGACTCGGCCAATAAAACCGAGAAACTTAAATAAAACTCATATCTAAAAACACCTCCCCGTGATACTTTTCTGCAGCCTCTAGAAATTGAGCCACAAAGTAAGTACATTGAGAATCAGTCCTCTAAGAGGAATTGTACCTTTTGCTGTAATGTCGCTAGAGGAAGCACAGTCCATTTTATCAAGGTATGGCAGAATCCCCTGTAGCCTAAACTGGAGCAAGGACATTGCAAGAGAAATATGTACAAGAGAGACGGGTGACTAGAGGGGACAGGGACATAACGGACCTGAGAAAGGGGGATCCTTAGCGGGCGACCCAGCAATGCCCGTGGGAAAGGGACAGTTGAATCGTGGAGGCATGAAGATCCTACATAGCACATGAAGCAAGGCCCCCTTCTCAAGATTTTGGGGAGTGTTTGGGGAAGTCTGGCTTCAGGCAAAAATATCTCAGAAACTATTCAGCAAGGAATCACCGTCGTCAGGCAGTAAGGAGGTTTGCTGGGTGACACGGCTTACTAAACTCATTGAAGGAAAAACAAAACAGAGAATAGGCACCGTTTCTTCAGTGCCGTCTGAGGCCCGGGGGAAGCATTCTCTGCCAAATTCCAGTCGTCCCAACGGCAAGATAAGTGGTGGATTATATTGTTTTATTTTGCAGTATATAGGTGGAAAATGTATTATCTATGGCCATAGGCCTTCACAATCTGAAATCATTTATAATAAAATTGCAGTACCTACTAAAAGCGACACCGTTGGTATTTCGCAAAGGAACAGTTGGAAAGCGACAGTCAGATGTTCAGTTTGTGGACCTCACTTACAGTTCCCTCTCTTCCTCTTCTTCCCTGAGGTTTCAGTGAGTCAGCAATTGTGCCCTCTGGTATTTCCTTGCCTTTTGGCTACTAAACTGTGCATGTCGGTTAACTTAACTTTGCATTTCATGGATTTTTCTGACCTCCATAATCTTTACACGCTCCATTGGAGGAGACGCGGTGATTTCCCAAAGCCATTTGCTTTAGCTGAGTTCTAGGAACCTGTTTTAGTTTTCTACAGATTTCATCTGTTGTTTCATACAGATCCATCTGCAGTAACGTCATCTGTTGTAATTTCTTTTTTGTCACTGTTTTATGTCGCAGTTGGAGATCTGTCCAACGAGCTTGTCCGGCATTTCCTGATTGAGTGCACCCATAAAGGAGTGAGGTTAAAAGGATGCCCCAACGAGCCATATTTTGGTAAGGACTGTGCATGGTTGTGTGTTACTGTTTTACTGAAAGCATTTTTTGCTTCGGTGACCTCAAAAAAAAAAAGGTAAAGGTTTCCCTTACTCGAAAGCCAGTTGAATCTGACTCTAGGGGGCGGTGCTCGTACGAAGACTTCTCCCTGGTCATGTGGCTGGCATGACTAAATGCCAAGGCACACAGAACGCTGTTACCTTCCCACCGAAGCGGTACCTATTTATCTACTTGCAATTCCTTGCTTTCGAACTGCTCGGTTGGCAGGAGCTGGGACCAGAGACGGGAGCTCACTCCGTCGTGCGGCACACTCGGGTCTCGAACGGCCGAACGACAGACCTTCCGGCCTGCAGCTCAGCCTCTTAACCTCTGAGCCACCGCAGCCCCATGGTGGCCTCCAAGGAGAAGTGCAAATGAGGAATAAAGCCAGCTGCAGTTACAGCCCTAAGCCGCATGCCAAACTGTCCAAATGATATGGCAGCAGAGTCGTCAGCCTGTCCTTCAGCCACAAATCCAACTTCTTTAACACCGTATGCATGATAGCAAATATCCCAGGAGTGGGAGGGGCGTGTCACACAAATGAGGCACTGCCGCACAGGAAGCCGATTCCCGACCTCTGGCCGCCTGCAGCCCGACCACCACTGAAGATCTCACACGAGCGC